ATGCCGCTTCCCACCTGCCGGGCGCGGACCTCCGGCCTGGGGAGACCACGGGTGCTAACTCTGCTGGCGGGCCAACTTCAGACGCTGGCGCTGCCGCGGCGCCCAACCCAGGTCCCCGAAGCAAGCCTCCTGATTTAAAGGTGAGCAGACCATCCCCCGCCAAGCCCAACCCGCGACTTAGCTCTTGCCACTCCACGCAGAAGTGCTTTAACAGGATACAAGTGAGGGGGGAAGTCAGGCAAAGGTCAGAGAGGATGAGCGGATGCTTGGCTGGCACCCCAGGGGGGACGTCAGGTACCATTTGTGCCTCTGTCTTTCAGCTCCATTTCAGGCCTCTGTGTTTGTTCCCCATTATTCAGCAAACGCTTTAGTGACTCACCCATCCGAGATTGTTTGAATAATGTGTGAAGTGCTATTCGCAGACAAAGGGCTAAAATCCAAGATGCTAACCAAAAAGTGGACAGCAGGTGACCATTAGTTTTCCTTGCTGAGTAAGTCTCTACCCATTGGGATCTTTTTTTTTTTTTTTTCTCGTGAGACGGAGTCTCGTTCTGTCGCCCAGGCTGGAGTGCAGTGGCGCGATCTCGGCCCACTGCCACCTCCGCCTCCTGAGTTCAAGCGATTCTCCTGTCTCAGCCTCCCGAGTAGCTGGGATTACAGGCACGCGCCACCACGCCCGGCCAATTTTTGTATTTTTAGTAGAGACGGGGTTTCACCATGTTGGCCAGGCTGGTCTTGAACTGCCCTCAGGTGATCCACCCGCCTTGGTCTCCCAAAGTGCTGGGATTACAGGCGTGAGCCGGCCCCATCGGGATCTTTGAGCGCCTTCCTGGATGAAGCTCAGTTTGCCGGTCTGTGAACAGGGGGTGTGGATTTCCTGCCGTTAGGTGGAGCCAGAGGTTAAGATAGTGCTTGGAGATCTCTCTGCCTGCTGCTGAACCAACCCCCAGGGTGGAGAACTGACAGGTGGTGGAGCAGTGCTTGGGCTGGTTTGGGGCCTCAGTTCAAGTTGCATACATGCTGAGACGGCAGCTAGAACCAGAAGCCGAAAGAACTGTTCACATGGAGATGTTTATTTTCTGGCCTGAGGTTGCCGAGACAATTGGCGAGCTGTCTTGAATATATCTCTATCAATTAAAACAGCAGCTGAGATAAATAATGCACCTTTGCCGGAACTGCCACAGGGACTGCAGGCTCAGGCTTCTCAAGCCAGCTCACCGTCCGGCTGAGCGAGATGTCAGCCCAAGGAAGGAACTTAGATGCCTTGGAGATTGATGCCTCAGTTATTTTCTCCAGAGAAGGTGTGGGGTCTGGGCTAGGAGAACGGAAAGGACTCCGTTGCATTTAATAAAGCCTGTATCCTATGGCAGCAGCCACTAAGGAGCTCACCAGAATAAGCCAATGACATTCCTCATTTGGCCTGAGCGGCTCAGAGTCAGGAAGTCAGAGCGCAGGTGAGTGTGTGTGCTCTTACCTGTGTATGTTACCTGTCTGTGTGCCTTGGGGGGGAGTGAAAAGGGGGACGACTAGGTTATTATGTGTATTTTTTAAATTTTGCAGTAATTATTCAAATCTGACCTCTGGTTCTGCCGCTGTCCTTTTCAGAGCTTCGTGGCTAGCCTTATGTCTAGAGGATCTCTGTGGGATAGGCTCTCTCTGCACAGGAAGCTTGAGCTTTTGCCAGACCCAGGGAGTCCTTGGTGTTTATCTCTGCCGTCACCTGCGAGTCCATCCCATGTGGTCAGGAGGTGTAGTTCCTGTTTTAAGTGAGATGGTGAGGGGGAAGGGGTCCCTTGAATGCTGTTGTAGGGAGGAGGCTAGCCTTCTGCTGCTGACTTCAGCCTCATTCTGAACCGGTCCAGCAAACCCTGATTCTCTGACCAGATGAGACCCTCAGCTGAGTCTGTCAGAGGCGGTCTTGGAAATTCCCCACTCTCCAACTCAGGACAGCAGTGGAAACTGCTTTCGCCATTTATTCCCCCAGTTGCCTTCATGAGGAAGATGGGTTGGTCATGGCATGGGGGCTGCAGTGTCTCTGTAGAGGGACGCCTTAAGGGATGCCTTAAGCTTGTTCGTTTCCACTCTCCTGTATCATCTTTCTTTTTTTTCTTTTTTGGCGATGCCCTCATTCTGGTCAGGGGCAGATGTAGTAACAACTTTACATTTGGTATTAACTGCCGAACTGCCCTCAACCAGAATTGGAATCAGTTGCAAGAAAAGAAGGTTCCCCCCACCCCGCCCCCGATAAAACATACCACTGAACCCAGCAATGTGGACCCAGTAAGGAGCAGAAAACCCAGCGGCAGCCTGCTTGTGGGAGCTCAGGGAAACAGCAGGGCTTTTCCTGTTTATCTCTGTCTGCTTCATCACAACATGTTTACTACCGGGTGCAAGGGACTTCCAACCAGATGTGACTTGGGGACTTTCACAGTTTGATTTGATGTGTGGTCTCAGGCAAATCACCCAACTTTTCTAAGCCTTTTTCTGGGGAAAGGGACTAAGAATATCGGAGTGTGTCCAAACTTGTTTATTTATTTATTTAGACACAGGATCTTGCTCTGTCACTCAGGCTAGAGTGCAGTGGCATGACCACGACTCACTGTAGTCTCAAACTCCCGGGCTCAAGTGATTCCCCAACCTCAGCCTCCCAGTAGCTGGGACTACAGGCGCATGCCACCATGCCTGGTTAATTTTAAATTTTTTTGTAGAGACATGGTCTTGCTATATTGCCTAGGCTGGTCTCGAACTCCTGGGCTCAAGCAATCCTCCCACCTCAGCCTCCCAAAAAGCTGGGATTACAGGTGTGAGCCCACCGTGCCCAGCCCCTCCAAACTTTCTGGAAAAGTTGTTTTCCAATACTGTTACAGTTTTCCAATGATAGAAAATTCCATTATTGGCTCTGGAACTGGGTAGAAGTTGACTGGTTTTAGATTTGTTGGTGGTACCACAGAAGGGTGTTTAATTTTTAATGCTCCCTACCTCATCCCTGTGTTCGGTCAAGGCAGATAAGCAGTCTGGTTTGCTTTTGTTTTCATTTTAAACTTTGGAGATGATAACTTTTGGTACCTTAGCCCCACTTCTATTTTGTCATGACAGCTCCAGGCACTGTGATGAATTAAGTGCATTGGAAGAAATCATCTTGGGGCAAACAAAAAAATAAGAGACTCTGTATAAAGCACCTCCATAGAGATTGGGGAGGTAGGGGAAGAGGAGAGAATTTTTATCTTTGCCAAAGAGATCTGAATGGTGTTTAGTGACAGTCCGTGGTTTCAGGGGCTCCTATGGTCTCCCTCTGGTCCTTTAGCACTGTGGACCATCTTACTGTGCACTGTGAATTTCTGCTACAGTGCCCTGGGATCTGTGATTATAGGGTGGGAAGGGCCAGTGAAAAGTAGTAGTTAAACAGCAATTTTAAAACTGTAATTAAAAATAACCTAAAAATGGACACTGCCTCACAGGAGGCTCATGCAGATACATTGAGGGCCTTCTCAACTGTTCCACACACCTGTGGGACCTTCGGGGAAAATCTCAGTAGACACTCCCACAACAGGAACGCAAAAATTCAGTCCCATTCTTCAGCCACTTGCAGCTTGAATTCCTGTTGAACCACTCGAGTTCATGTTTCGATTCATTTTTCCTTATCGCCCAGTCTTTTGCTGCTAACAGATTCCCGGCTTGTTGGGAGGAGATACTGGGGTTGCTAAGCCAGGAGATACTGGGGTTGCTAAGCCACAGAGAGTGCTGGCTGACCAAAAGTACACCAGAATTCTACAGCAAGAAAACCCAGTTCCGTTGCATATGGGAGGAGACGGGGAGCTTAGGGGAATACTGCAGACAGGGAACACACATTCCTGTTAAAAATACAGCATACGGGCCAGGAGCGGGGGTGGCTCATGCCAGTAATCCCAGCACTTTGGTAGACCGAGGTTGGTGGATCACTTGAGGCCAGGAGTTTGAGATCATCCTGGCCAACATGGTAAAATCCTGTCTCTACTAAAAATACAAAAATTAGCCAAGTGCAGTGGCACACACCTGTAGTCCCAGCTACTTGGGAGGCTGAGGTGGGAGGATCGCCTGAGCCCAGGAGGTTGAGGCTGAGGCTGCAGTGAGCCGTGATCATGCCACTGCACTCCAGCCTAGGCTACAGGGCAAGACCCTATCTCAAAACAAAAGTAAAAACAAAAAAACATGTGAATGTGTGGTAGATACTTCTGAGGCCCAGGATGAGTGGCCAAGCTTAAGGGTGAGCTGGTTCTGTCCTGATATGTGATGGAAGCCCGAAGGCATGGGAGGAAGTTACCAACCTCCCCACCTCTCTCACCCCTTGTGCAGTGGGAAGAATTGACCCTTTCTTGAAAGGAGGTGTCTGGGGATGCTGGCCCGTGCTTTCCGCCTGGACTTCCCCTAAGGTTCTCTTTCCTCTCACAAAAGCCCCTGTAAGTAATTTCCCCGGAGATTTCTGAGCAGTATTAATATCTTTCCCTGAAGAAAAAGGGGGAGCTCCAAATTCCATCATTCTCCTCCTGATTTGAAGCACTTTTGACTCAAGACTTATTTGGGTTCCAGCTCATGTTCTAGTCACACCATACACTGGTCTTCCTGCCTACTTAGTGAAGAGCAGGAAAAATAATTTGAAGCCAGATATCTGAGAGAAAGTCACAGCTGAGTCCTGTGTGGTTCTCCCTGCTGGCTCTCCGCCTTTCCTGGTGGTCACAGGCAGCTTCCTCCCACTGTGAGTGGCCTGTGTTCCTTCAGTGCTCCTGCGGACAGCCCGCTAGAGAAGGGTTCATGCAGTCAGCAGATACTGACCACCTTCAGCAGGAAAGGTGCTGCTGAATTAAATTGTGAAACATGCTTATAAAAGTGCCCGAAAACGTGTGCAGTTTAAATAACAGTTAAATAACAGAAGCAAACGTGTGCAATTTAAATAACAGAAGACACCTCGTCTACCCAAGTCAAGAAAAAAAAAATTGACATTCCCGAGAAGCCCCTGCTTGTTTTCTATTTGTTTATTTATTATATATATATATTTTTTCAAGGCTCAGGGTTTTGATAAAATTTATAGGTCTCAGTTTCTCCTTTTTTTTTTTTAAATGTTAGTCAAGCGAAGCAGTGGGAGTGGAGAGTTTCTTCATTTTTTAAATGAAGGAGAAGACAAACTACTTCATAAGAACGTGGGTGGGATGAAGATGTGTGCATTTCCTGGGGCTCTCCAGGAGCTTATGGTTGGGATGGCTCTCTGAGGGCCTGCTGCATCTTGAGGCCCCAGTAGATATGTTAAGGCTTGAAGATTCCTGCAATCTCAGGTGGGAGCCAGACGCCTGGGGTAAGTTTCATCAGAGGAGGTAGAATTGAGGTATGCCTAAAAACAAAGAAATGGGAAATTGGTTATTTGGCCTCACCTCCAGGTGAGCTTCTAGGTCAAATAGGATGAAATACTTGCAAGAAAACCATAGTGGAAATACACATAAGTTTAAGGGTGCTTAATGTATCATGCAGTGCAATCAGAAACTTATGGGGGTTTATCAGGAAAGTTGTTCTGCAAGAGGTGGCTTTAGAGCAAGATTTTTTTTTTTTTTTTTTTTTTTGAGATGGAGTCTCATTCTGTCTCGCTCAGGCTGGAGTGCAGTGGCGCAATATCGGCTCACTGCAGCCTCCGCCTCCCGGGTTCAAGCGATTCTCCTGTCTCAGCCTCCCAAGTAGCTGGGACTACAGGCATGCACCACCATATCCAGCTAATTTTGTATTTTGAGCAGAGATGGGGTTTCATCATGTTTGCCAGGCTGGTCTGAAACTCCTGACCTCAGGTGATACACTCTCTTTGGCCTCCCAAAGTGCTGGGATTATAAGCGTGAGCCACTGTGCACAGCCTAGGGCAGGATTTTAAAGAAGGGGTGGAACATTTATTACCAAACAAGAGAAGAGGGGCTTTCCAAATGGGGGGAGTGAGGTAGCAAGTGCTTTTGTAGGGTCTTTGCCCTGTTTGACTAGAATGGTCAGGAACAATGGAGGGTAGTGCAAATGCTGAAGTTATCTGTTTTGTCCCACTTGTACCTTATGAGGCAGGCAGAGGGTTGGAAGGCCCAGGATTGCCCCATCCCCACCCCCTCCAACCTTCAGTAATATCCAGAGCAGCCCTGTATTTGGGCTCTGGGGGAACTGGTGACCGATGGGAAAGCATGTGGCAAACGAAGCTCCCTGTTCTCCTGCCACATATTGAGTTCTAGATTAATTCCCAGCTGCCCTAGTTGTTCTAGTGGGAACTGTCTGGCAGGCTCAGTATTTACAGAATGTGCTGCTTTTTGTGTATCTAATTGTGTCTTCACTGCCAATCCCATTAAGAATTTCCTTCAACAAGGAGTTGAAACATCTGATAGGACCTAAATTTTGGGTTGAAGTTTTAAAAGAGTATGGGGTTATCAGGAGCTGGGGAAAAGGGCTCAGGCAGCTTCTCAGTGGTGGTCTTAAAGGCCAACTCAAAACTCATTTCTGTTTTCATCTCTCCCTTAAGAAATGGCATCTGCCTTTGAAATCCCCGTAGACTACTAGCATGGTACATTTTTGGAATGAGGCCATAACTGGACAGGGTCCACCTTTGTCAGCCAAACACTGAAGTCTCTCTTCATGTAAGAAGTTAGAACAAAGCTGTTGGGGATAACAGGTATGTTTTGTGACTGTGCTAGAAAAACAGTTATTTGGCTGAGCGCAATGGCTCACGCCTGTAATCCCAGCACTTTGGGAGGCTGAGGCGGGGGGATCACGAGGTCAGCAGTTCGAGAGTAGCCTGGCCAGCATGGTGAAAACCCGTCTCTACTAAAAATACAAAAAATTAGCCAGGCATGGTGGTGTGCCCCTATAGTCCCAGCTGCTCGGGAGGCTAAGGCAGGAGATTTGCTTGAACCCAGCAGGCAGAGGTTGCAGTGAATTGAGATCACGCCATTGCACTCCAGCCTAGGCGACAGAGCAAGACTCTGTCTCAAAAAAAAAAAAAAAAAAGAACAGTTATTTTCAAACCAAATGACTAAAGGCTTCCTTATGCCAGCCAGGTTAACTGAGTGATGTCCACCAGGGAAAACAAAGCTGGCTATAAGGACATGAGCCCCCCCACCCGAGCCCTCCCTAAGCCATTCTTGAAGACATCACACACATTCTGGCTCCTTGGCCTGTGTTCATCTCCTCCCAAGCCAACTCAATCTTGGCGGTTACTAAGATAATAGAGTGAGAAGAGGGTTTAAACTACAGCAGGAGAAATCTGAGTTAGACACAAGAAAAGGCTGTTGGAGCATTTGAAATATTTGTGAAAGGTTATGTCTTTGGAAAAGATAGCCATCTAAGGATTAAAATCACCTTTGTAAGATGGATTTGTAGAGACTTGGATAGTGGCTGCTCAGAAAATAAATGAACAAATGATTTACGTAGCAGTCTTACATGTTTGTGTTGAGGCCTCTGCCAGGTAATGTTAGGGACACAGATGTAGGTGCTGTAGCTCCTGCTGTCCAGTCACTCATATTGTCCTCAAAGTTTCCGTCCATCAGCAGGTGAGAAGTTGGATAACAGTTGGAGAGAGCACTGGAAGCGATGTCGCAAGGCAGTACACGATTAATTGCAAAATGAGTGGTGCAGATAATGAGCGCTTATGTGTTCAGAGCAGGGTGAAATCGCTGCAGACTGGTGTGATCAGAGAGGTCTTTATGGAGTGGCGAGGTGGTGAAGGATGGGTAGGATGCAAAGAGGCAGAGAGAGGGCACACCATGCTGGGAACTTTAATAAAAGTCTTCTATGTTGGTGTGTGCTGAATCAGTTCTGCCTAAAGACATGGTGGATGAGGTGACCTTTTCCCACTTGCTTTGGCTCCAGGCAGAATTCTCTAAGCAATAAAGGAGAAAGGAATCAAAATAAAATTGAGAATGGGGGAATTATTTGCCTGTGTGCCCATGAGTTGAGACTTTTTTTTTTTTAATGTCAGCTGTGAGGCTGAGAAAGAAATAAATGATTCCAAAAAGCTTTCATCACTGGGTTTCCAATAGAAACTCCAAGTGGGCCTGAGCAGTTGCAGCTGCCTACTGTACACCACTGTGATCATCAGCACCAAACCTGGGGTAATGGTTCCGCTCCTGCTCCCGCCCAGGCTCCCCACCCAGAGCTTCTTAAGGGCAATTGGAGACTTCTTCAATCCACTTTGGATCCTGAGAGTAGAACTCTGTGGGTTTTTACAGTGATTAGTTCTCTAATGCTGGCCCTGTTTCCATAGAGACCCTATAAATAGAGGAACGTTGGCAACCTAGGCTGGCAAAGGCTCAGGGTGACCCAGTCACCCCACTGAACCCTCACAGCCAAACTGTTGGTAGGGCGGAAGGAGTTTCAAACCCAGGTAGGAGGAAGGGCTATGCAGTCAGCTGCCAGGTGGGATAATTAGCTATAGATTAGTGTGACTTTAAGCTTTCCTGGGATTTGTTGAGAACACGGGGACCTGTAAAAATTAGAAACCACTTTTGGTCATTTTTAACCAGATGGTGCCAATGACACTGTACCCCGAGACATTTTAGTTTTGGATTTATGCAGCTGTGTTTGCAGATTTTGGAGCAAACTTCCCCTTTGGGGGACCCACACCCAGGGAGAAAGACGGATGAAGCCCAACTGTTCAGAAACCACAGCCTTCTCAGGAAGGATCTTTCAGAAGCCATCTAGTCCTCCCTTTCTTCCTGAAAGGACAATGTCACCCAAGGAGATGGGGTCCTTCCTGCCCTTTCAGATAGTTCCAAGGGAGGGACAGCCAACTCCCCTCACTTCCTTCCTCAGGGCAACTCACCCTGGGAGGCTCTCCTTTCTGACTACCTTCTGGCCAATTCTGGGGACGGCACTTCTTGCTTTGGTCTTATGGATCATGAAAGCCCTGTTTGTGTCCCACCTCTCAGCTCTCTACTACATGGCTTCATTTGGCCACCAGAATGGTTTCTGGCAGCCAGGGAAAAGCAAAAGTCAATGTGGAAAAGCAAGTGACATTTTAGGAGCTGGAACCTGTTAGTCAGAGCAGGTGGTGCTTTCTGCTGCGTTGGCGGCTAAGTTCCCTTAAGCTAGTCACCATGGTTTTCCTCACTTCTGAAACTTGTAGCTGGTTATGTGTATGTGCTGAGTTTTTTTTTTTTTTTTTTTAAACACTTACTGTGTTATGTCAAAACTCCTTAACCATCTCCTCCCTGACACCCACATAAAGAAGCGGCCCAGCCCATGCGTCACTTTGCTGTTCCCGCCTCGCACCTTATAAGTGAGGAAAACCCCTTCATTTGGAGCAATCTCCTCTCTCCGCACATTGTTCTTTAACTTCTTTTTTGTTCTTTCCCTCCTGCCTGCCACAGACTTTGATAGACTCCTTGGTCTGCTGGGGCAAAGGTCCTGGGGTCTCCTGGTCACTTTCCTTAGGTTTCCTTTACCCACAGGACAGCTCAGGAAGATGGGAAGTAAAGACTTTATAGTTGAGGGTCTTGTCCTATAACATGGGATGGGCAGATCACGACTGCAGTTCAGGGGACCTAACAACCCTTGACCCAGGCATTTTTGTTTTGCTCCTGCCTTTGATACTGTTCTGGGACGCATGCAAATACCCTACCTACTTTAGTCTTGAAATCAGTGTATGGGGCCGGGTGTAGTGGCTCATGCCTGTTATCTCAGCACTTTGAGAGGCCGAGGTGGGCGGATCACCTGAGGTCAGGAGTTTGAGACCAGCCTGGCCAACATGGTGAAACCCTATCTCTACTAAAAACACAAAAATTAGCCAGGTGTGGTGGCACACACCTGTAATCCCAGCTCCTCAGGAGGCTGAGGCAGGAGAAGTGCTTGAACCTGGAAGGTGGAGGTTGCAGTGAGCCAAGGTCACACCATTGCATTCCAGCCTGGGCAACAGAGCGAGACTCTGTCTCAAAAAAAAAAAAAAAGAAAAGAAAAGAAAAAAAAAAAGAAATCAGTGTATGGGCCCATGAAGGTAAATTCAATTAGAAGTTGGGGGTTTCTCTCTGTGGCTTGGATGAGCCACTTAGCTATGCTGTGCTTCCATTTCTTCATCTGCAAAATAGACTGATGCTATGATGTCTCACATTTCTAGCTCCTGAGATTAGGCTAGTATCAGATTATGACAGTATAAATCAGAATGCACTTTGCAAAATGCTGTTGTATAAATTTTAAAAGCAAATTGACCAAAGATTTTAGGCTCCAAGGCAATATGGCAGACATTAGTGGCTGCCATAGCTCTCCTTGGCACCTCCACTGGCCTCCCAGGGATAGGGGAGAAGAAATGCCTCAGAACTCTAGGACCTCTGCTGAAGTCTTTAGAAGGGAAACTCTTTCTGCCTGAGTGGATCCTCAGTGTTGGAGAAGCCAGTTTCGGAATGGGGGGAGAAGAGGAAGAGACCTGGAATAGAATGCTAGAAAGACAATTTGTATTATGGAATGTGACGATTTGGCAGAGGCAGCTGGGCAAATGCCAGAGCCAGCTGGCCCCATCACAGTACCTGGAGGGAGGTCTCGCATCAGCTTGGGCCTAGGGAAGAGGGAGGTGTCCTGGCGTGTCCCTGTTCTGGACACTGCAGGATCTGGCCCGTTCCAAGTCCATGGCAGAGTTGACATCTTGGTTCTTCCCAGCACAGATTCAGGTGAGCCTTGTGATCCTGCCTCAAGCTGGCCCCCAGGGGATGGTAACTCCTGTGGGAAAACCTGGCATTGTGTAACTTAGCATCTCGAGGGCCGCCCCAGAATTCAGTTCTTGAGAGGGAATCGTGGTATCCTTAATTTCCTCATCTCTAAAAGGAGATGTTCCAGTTGTTGGTTTTGTTACTATTTAGGAAAACCAGATGGGATAATGCAGGATACAAAGCTTCTTTAAAATGAAAAACCGTTAGTTCGTGATGAGTTGTGATGATGTAATTTATCTGGTCTGTAAAATGGGTGATGTAAGGGCCTCACCTACTTTGAAGATTCTGGGGATGCTCAAATGAGGTGAAAAATGAAAATCCTAATATTTTACACAAATACATAATGGTGTGGTTATTTGTATCCAGCTGTAAGTGCAGCCATCTGCACAAACTCAAGGCTGAGTTGTAAAGTAACCTAAGAGTGGGGTCAGCTCATTCAGAGGATGTCAGGTTGCTTTTTCTTGGTTTCTATATGGTCTAGATTTTCTGCTCTGTAAGGTTGTTTCTAGGGAAAAAAAAAAGAAAATCCAGTCTGTGTAATTTTTTGGAACATTTTTTAAATGATTGAGGCTGCCTGGTAAGATTGTAGGTTGTTCATCACAGGAAATCTTGCTATGGCTCATTGAGTCCCACATGGCTGGGTCCCGAGTTTTCCTCTAAGGAGCTGCAGAATGTGAGGTGTCTCCTGGTCCTCCAAGTCTCACCCCTCCTCCCACTGGCTCCAAAGCTCTCATAGAGGGCTCAGCCTGGCCAGATAAGCCGTCCCCTGACAAAAGCAGCTGTCTGGAATTATCCCACAGTTGCTCGCCCTGGCAGGCCATCCAGCTGCCCCTCTGGGAGCAGTCTTGCTGGAGGAGCAGCTGGAGAATCTCAGCGACAGGGCTGAGAGGAAAGGCTGTGGCCAGGGCAGCACTGGGTTGCAGGGCCTCTTTGGGTCTAAGGGGAAAGACACTCATTTGGATAGCTTGTTCCGATGTGTATGCTGAAGAATTGGTCACATTACTGACTATGTCACAAGGTTTGCCCATAGAAGTAAAGTTTATTTCATTGCCAACCGCATCAGGAATGAGATTGGCTGCAAATAACAGAAAATCATACTAGAGTTGTGTAGACAAAGATGGGTTTATTTCATGCAACAAGAATTCCAGGATAGATGTTCACAACTGGTTTGGTGGCTCCATAGACTTTCAAGTTCCCAGGACTGTCCCTTGGGCTCCACCATCTGTGTGCAGGCCCTCATCAGGTTGCAGAATGGCCACTGCATCTCCGGGCACTGCATTCCCATTCCAGATGGGAAGATGTGGAAAGGACCAGTGCCTTTATCAGGAAAGCAAAAGTGTTCCCAGAAACTCACCTTGCTTTTTGTTGGCCCAAACTGTCATGTGGCTACTCGTAGCTGCAAGGGAGTCTGATGAAGCAGGAATTTTTAGCAAGGTGATTTAAGTCCTTGCAGTTTGATTGGTAAGAAAGAAAGAGAAATAGATATTGGGTAGGCAATTAGCAGTGTCTGCTACAACAGTGTAACCTGATTGTATGACCCTGATTTTCCTGGGCGAATGTTGGAATTGGGCATCTTTGGAAATCAATGCTTGGTGGCCTGAAAGAGCTGGTACAGCTTGAAGGGATGTCTAACTTGGAAGGAGGGAAGAACTGGGGCTGGGGGTATCAATGTAGAGGGATACAACCCCATGAGCCAAGTGCTACCTATGTATGCCATTAAGCCTCAGACTGAAGCCCTGAGAGCATCATTCCTAGAAACTCTGAATCTACATTTTGATTGGGAATGTCCTGTGGGAAAACCATGGGGGCACATCTCTTTGGGAATGAAAGGATGGGTCTGGGTTGCCACCTTTTCGCAAAGTGACCTTTTATGCACGACATGCCATCTATAGAGATCTTCCAGGTTCAGATGGCTGCATTAGCTATGCCAGTCCACCAAGGACAGACCCTTCACCTTCACCCCACACTGACTAGGCAATCAAGAGCTTTCCACTCACCAGGGTTCTTCATCTCTCCCCCTTCAGAAAATCCAGCAGCTGTCAGAGGGCTCCATGTTTGGCCACGGTCTGAAGCACCTGTTCCACAGCCGCCGTCGGTCTCGGGAAAGGGAGCACCAGACGTCTCAGGATTCCCAGCAGCAGCAGCAGCAGCAGCAGGGTATGTCCGACCATGACTCCCCAGATGAGAAGGAACGCTCTCCGGAGATGCACCGCGTCTCCTACGCCATGTCCCTGCACGATCTGCCTGCCCGGCCCACTGCCTTCAACCGTGTGCTGCAGCAGATCCGGTCCCGGCCCTCCATCAAGCGGGGCGCCAGCCTGCACAGCAGCAGTGGGGGCGGCAGCAGCGGGAGCAGCAGCCGGCGCACCAAGAGTAGCTCCCTGGAGCCCCAGCGTGGCAGCCCTCACCTGCTGCGGAAGGCCCCCCAGGACAGCAGCCTGGCCGCCATCCTGCACCAGCACCAGTGCCGTCCCCGCTCTTCCTCCACCACCGACACTGCTCTGCTGCTGGCCGATGGTAGC